AACATAACACGAGGAAGGTGTTAAAACTGGTGTAATAGCTCCATAGAGTAAGTATTCCAGATTGTGGGAGGGATGAAGAGGGAGATATTTAGAACCCTTCACCAAAATCCCCCCAACTTGATCATAGTGGATTAATGATGTGCTTTGTGGATGTGATTAGTCAATGACACCAGCTTGACGGATCTTTCTTTCGGCACCAAATCCCTGTGGAGGAATAAAATTGCAATTAATGATGTGGGTAACTGGAAATCACAGTACCTTACAGTTCTAAAATTAAGTACAAAAGCATTCTTTTTAATAATTTTAACAACTACCAAATTCTGAGAGAGAGAGAGAGAGAGAGAGACACACACACACACACACACACACACACACACACACACACACACACACACACACACACGGAGGGAGAAATCCCTTTGGTCTCATATATTTATTCAAAGTATCAGAAAAAAGAAAGAAAGGTGAGCCAATATTATGTTAGGGATTCACCAATGTTCTCAGATCTATGTGAAATAAGACTTCAGCAATCTGCTGTTCTGTGAGATGTCCTCCCCTGAGATTAGCCTCTCCCTCATACCATTGAGTTATCTGGTCCCCTTGGCTGACGAAGAACCATTAGGCGAGGAGCACTGGCATCATCCAGGGTGATGCTCTTCAAACGATTGACCAGCCGATCAGGTCTTGGAGCTGCAACAGCCTTGGGGCCTTCACTGTAAAACAGTTAAGAGGTCAAAAAGAGCAAGCGATGCTTGGTTAAAACATAGAATTGTGTTTTCTCTTTAACTATCCAAATGACTCACTTTTAATGAGCAGACTTTTCCCTCATTAAGGCAGCTAACAAGACTAGACAGACAAGTTAATAGTTTTTACCCCTCCACACAAATTTTATTAATGCGTAGGAGTGGAAAGATTAATTTCGGTGAGGGTCATTCCCAAATGTATCTGAAACCAGAGAAACCAGTTCCATATATGAATCAAAGACAGATAAAAAACATCTGCTGCTGTTGACTGCCATTGAGTCCAGCATGACCTGAATTTTTTTTATAACTATTGTTGTTTCTCAAAGTTCAAAGAGTTTCCAGAGGCATGTTGCTTAGGAAGTGGATGCCACCCCTGCTTACAAATGAAAAACTTTTAGAGAAGTTAAATATATGGAGAAATATTTCCAGGGATTTTGAACTCTTCAAATAGTAACAAAGTTACTTTTGAAAAATATTATCAGTGAGGACTATTTATAGTTACATTTCTATTTTAGCAGAATATTACACAATGGCTTAATGAAAGGAGTTAGGCAGAACAGAAACATGCATCACATAATTCTGTTTGGGTTGGTTTTGTTTTTTTTTTTAGGATATAGTATACAGCAAGTGACCATATAATGTTTCACTGGGACAAATTTATAGTAATAAAAAGTTAGAAAATGAAGAAAAGAATATAAGAAGTATTAAGACCTAAACAAAGGTAGCAAGGCAAAGAGAGAGAAAAGAGAGGAAGAAAAGAAATTAATGCTCCAGAAGAGTAGTCAGGTCAGGGTGGTTAATGATCCAACAAAAATGTATCTCACCAGACTCGCCAAACATTACAGGCACTGCACTTGCCGGTACGTTGATTAAGAATCACTGAGAACTCCACCTCATCTCCTGCCTGTAGCTCAATGCCATCTTGAACTTCCTTCACGTGGAAAAAGAGCTTCTTGCTATCTCCTACTTCATAGTTAATGAATCCAAACTGAAATTTTAAAAAGTAAATAAAAATAGCTGGAAAATAAAAAAGGGACACACAACACCAGAAAAAGCACCTCACTTTGAATTAAGCACAATGGTTGCCTATGAGACGATTTACAACACATGGTGTTATGTTAATGCTAATAGCCTTATGAAACTGCAACACTTTTCAAAAAGAAAATGTGAACAATTTTACTCACTGTAAAACTGAGCGAAACAAAGATTGCCTTGCTCCTTCAAATATTTCAAACTGTTTTCAACTAATAAAAAGTATCGAAAGCTATCTGTTAAGTTAAAATGTTATTTAAACATAAGTTATCATATTGCCCTTTTCTAGGATTATGAAACTACAGAGGTCTGGTGGCTTAGGGGTAAGGAACTGCACTGCCAACCCAAGGGTACGTGATTTGAATCCACAGATGGTTCAATGTCCTCCCATGTGATTTTTTGCCTCTGAAAATCTGCAGCTATGTGACAGTTTAGACTCAAGGTTACAAAACCACAGAATTATTAAAATATGGTTTGATATAGAAAACAGCCACACAAACTGTTAGATTAATTGTGTAGATTTTGAAAAGTGTCGTCTCTGAAGATTCACTGGGAAATCATCTTCAAGTTTCAGTCCTAAGAACAGATCAGTCTGTCCTAAGATTATTTCACAAGAAACTCTGAACCACAAGTACTAGTCTTTGTATTCTGGGAATCTCATTCCAGATTTATATTCCCTATCATGCAATGCACGCTTAGCTTTTCTTTGCTGTTATCACGTATTGTTTTGTAATTACTCATTAATTTAGAATTACTCTACAAGTATTTTAAAATAATAATCTCATAATGCTTAAAAGGGTAAAAAGTAAAAAGAAAAGCTCTCTTGGTTCAAAATATTTCAGAGCTGCATTATTATCTAGCAAAATTAGTAAACAAATGAAATCCTTTAACTCATAAAAGTATCAAATGTAGATGGCCACTTACTTGATCTTTCACACACTCCACTGTGGCTCGACGCAGGGGTGTGATATTGTAGGCCATTGTCTGTGAATTTTGGCCCAAGACACACAACTGGAATTTGACACTCTCGCCTTTCTGCAGGCAATCCCCTTTGTTGGCCATCCCAACGATGCCAAATGGATACACTTCACCTTTCATATCCCCTGAAGGAGAAACAAGTACAAACATTTTACAACTTGTTTTGTTGTTATTAAGTGCCTTCTAGTTGTTTATGACTCTTAGCGACCCTATGTAAAACAGCCCTACTCCCTGCTCTATCCTGTGCCAATAGCATTGCCTCTGACACACACATCCCGATTACCCCAGTCACTGAATAAATTCACCTCATAGTGTCATCCCCTCCTGTGCTGTCCCTCCACCCTACGAAGCATGATGTCCCTCTCCAAGGACCTGTCTCTCCTGACAACATGTCAGTATGTCAGACGATGCC